TTTTTGAATACTCTTCGAACTTTTGAAAGTACTTGGAAGTTTTGAAACTTCAAGAAATTTCTTGACACTTCACATGGAAGTTCTACTACGTTAAAATTAAGTCAAAGTTAAAGTTAAGTAAATGTTTAGTTAAAGTTAAGTGAATGTTTAGTTGAAGTTAAAATAAAGTTAAATAATTAATGTGTTATGTCTGCTTGCCTGTGGTTAAAGTAAAGTGAAGCTAATTAAAGTTTGGTTATATAAAATAAAGTTAAGATATAATTAAGTTAAAATTTAGTGAACGTTACGATAAAACTAATTTAAAGCTTAGTTAAAATGAAGTGAAAGGTATGATAAAGCTAATTACAAGTAATGATAATTTTAAGTTGAAGTTGCGTTTTAGTTGAAGTTAAGTTAAAGAAAAAGTGAATTTAAGGTATTATTAGTTATTGGTTTATTTAAAGTTTAGCTAATGATATGTTAAGATTAAATAAGAGCTATAATAAAGTTAAATTTAAGCCAAGTTAAATTTACATTAATTTTCAGTTCAAGTTTAATTGAAGATAAGTTAAAGTTGAGCTAAAGATATGTAAAAACTATGTTATCGTTCTGTTTAAGTTAAGTTAGTTCCTAGGAACTCCTATGTTGCTCTTGGACGGCTGGGAACTTCTTATCTTTAAGTCCAGCCTAGCTTCAATTTGAATATTACGTAGCATAAACATAACTTCTAACAAGTTTTAACTGTTTACTTAATTTAAGTTTATTTTAGTTTTCATTTAACATTTACTAAATGTTAGTTATATTTATTTATTTTAATTGAACAGAACTTCCAAGATGTTCAAAGAATGAAGTTTCTCTGAAGTTGCCTGGAAATAACTTTCACATAACTTCAACTTGACTTTATCATAACTAATGAAATTTTAATATAACATCAAAATATCTTTAGTTAAACTTCAGCTTATCTTTAATTAAACTTCAACTAAATACACCTTAAATAAACATTTACTTTAATTTAACTGCCACTGAACATTAACTTATCTTTAACATAACTTCAACATTACTTTAACTTGGCTTTAACATATTTTTAACTTAGCGTTTACTTAATTTTAACTTAATTTAATCTTAACCTTCACTAAATTTTAACTTAACTTTGACTTAATTGTAAGTCAGCTTGATTTTATGTAACCGAATTTCAACTTAACTTTAATTAAACATTAACTTGTTAAATTAAATTAACTTTAATTTCAACGTAACAGTAGCTTAAATTTAACAAAATGTAGACCTAATCTTAACTTAACAAGAACATCCAAGTGAGATGTAATGAAGTTTAAAGAAGCTCCATTAATTTCTAAAAAGTTAAATAAAATTCAAGATGTTCTAAGAGATTTCAATAACTTCCAAGAACTGAAGTATTCCTGATGTGCTCTGAAAGGATCCCTGAAATTCCCTTGTAATAACTTCAACTTCACTTATTTATAACATGTACTGCAATTTAACTTAACTCTAACTTAAGTGTCAACTAATTCTATAACAATTTAAACATAGCTTTAGTTTAAGTTTAACATAACTATCTTAACTTTAACCAAACTTTAAATTTATCTCAACTTTAGCTTCAACATATCTAACTTAACTTCAACACATACTTAACTTAAGCTTAAGTATCTATTAACATATCTTTACTTTAACTTTTACTACACTTTAACTTAACCTTTCCTAAACTTTAACTAATGTCTAATTTAAATTTGATTTAATATTAACTTAACTTGAGCTTAGCTTTAACTAAACTTTATTATATTTTTTGAACTGCAACTCATTCGTAACTTTGAATTCGTTTTGACTTAACTTAAACTAAATCTTCACTAAATTTTAACTTAAATTTGTTAAAATTTGATCCTAACTTTATCTTTAACTTAACTTAAATTTAACTTAAAATTAATGTAAACTTAACTTAACTTAAACTTAACTTTAAATTAACTTTAATCTAAATTTACGCGTTAAACTTCAACTCCTTAATAATCTTAACTTTGAATTGACTTTATCATAAATTTACCTAACACTTATCTAATTAGTTTAACATTAAACTAACTTAGCATTAACTTAATGTTTGCATAAATTTAGCTAAACCTTACCTAATTAATTTAACATAAATCTCATTTAACTTTAACTTCACTTTGACTGAACTTTAATTAACCTTTAACTTAACTTTAATTAACCTTTAACTTAACTTGATTATCTACTACCAGTGATGGAAAAGTTCGCGAAAAATCACTATGACTCATGAACTTTTCCCTTGGTGAACTTCGTGAAATATCGCGAACTTTTCCAACACTGTCTACTACCAAACTTTAACATAATTTTACTTAAACTTAAATTTAACTTTCCTTTAACTTAAATTTAGCTAATCACTAACCTGACTTTATCCTAAACTTTCGGGATCTGGCATCAGATTCCCTATTGGAATCCGGCTTAGGATTCCCAATCCGGCATTGGATTTCCTTTCATAAGAACTTCCAATAAGTTCCAAGAACTTTCTACGAAACTTCCAGGAAGTTCCCAAGGTAATTAACATAACTTAACGTTTCCTTAACTTTAACATAACTTTCACTCAATTTTAACTTACTTTTAACTTAACGTCAACCTAACTTTAACTTAACTTTAACTAAAATTTAACTTAATTATAGCTTAACTTAAATTAATTTAAACTCTACTTGAGTTCATCATTCACCAATCTTTAACAGAACTTTTACTAATTAACTTATCTTTAACTTTATTCAAACTCAACTTGATTTTAGCTTTTACCAAACTTAAACATAACTTTAACTATTTAACTTAACTTTACTGTAACATAAATTTAACTTTGACTTTAATCTAAATTTAACTTTTACTTTACCTTAAATTTAACTTGACTTTTACTTTACTTGAATTTAACTTTCATTTATCTTAACTTAACTTTAAATTTACTGTAGCTTAACTTTAACATGTTTTTAACTTTACATTAACTTAGCTCTAACTTTATTTAAACTCAACTTGATTATATATTTTACCCAAATTTAACATAAGAAAAATTAAATTCAAGTTAAAGTAAAGTTAATTTAATATTATTATTATTTTTATTTAGCTAAACTGTAACTAAAAACTAACATTAATTTATCCAAAACTTTCGGGATCCGGCAACAAATTTCCTTTTGGGGTTCAGCTTCGGATTCCCTCCCAAAATAACAGTTTAGTTCACACTTGGGAAGTAATCTTAAAGTAAATCACTCCCAAAAACTTAAAACAGTTCAGTTCACACTTCCAACTCAACCTCAGGGTTGCTGGAGTGCAGCCGGATGTGTACCGGAAGCACACTTAATGTGAATTGTTTTTTTCAATGTGAATCACTCCCAAAATCAGTTCAGTTCATCACTCCCAAAATCAGTAACAGTTCAGTTTAAACTTCCAACGCATCCGGGAGGGTGCTAGAATTCAACCGGATGTGTTTAGGCCAACTCCCCGGCAAGGTGACAGATAATCTTAGTTTCTCGTACCCACTTGCAAATAGTAGATGTCGCCACACAACGTAAACAAAGGGACTGCCCTTCACCGCCGCAATGGTATTTCTCTACGGGAAGGCAACTTTTTGTTTCACCATGTGTGGATGTCAAGCAACAAGCAAGAATGCCATGTGAAAAGAGCGATTTATGATTTTCGTGGTGAAATGAAATAAATCCAAACAAATTGGAACAGATTGATGGAAGTTTTTCTTATATAATCAAATAGAAATAAAAACACATTGGTTAATTCTATTATATTTTGCTCTTGAATATTATCAGTCTTGAGAATAATGTTTCTGAGCATACTTGTGCGGTGAAGACTTGCAATAAAAAGCCGTATTATTAAAAACAGTTTACTTCCCCATCTTTCTATTGAGGGGTGAAAAAATATACAAAATTGATTCTTATTCGCGGTGAGTAGCAGGTTTGCTGTGTGAACACTAACATTTCGTATATTCATTCAAACATGAAGAAATAAATAAAATAAATTAAAATAAGCGTCTCTCAACAAGAGATATTCATAATGAGCTTCTAAAACGAATAAATTTCAGTGATTGTCTTTTGTTACACCCGTCCGTTTAATTAACATTGTTCCCCACCAACTTAAAGTTTCAAGAAACAGATGAGGCTATCTGTTTTTATGTTCAGTATTTTATTTACTTTATTTACATATCTGCATTCGCCCTATTCAGATAACACTTCTGAAATTTGTGAGTTTGACAGAACCACCAGCACCAAATTTTCGGAGTACGCTGGAAATGTACTGTGATATATCCACATGTTCTGGAAGCACTGCTTCAGAACACAGGCGGTAAAATGAATAATACCGATTCGATAAGATGGAAAAGGAAAGTAGACAAGAGCGAGAGAGGAACATAAGAAAAAGGGAAGTAGGAAGTGTAATCAAAACAGGGAAATAAATGACTGGTCATAACTGTTTGAACTGCAACTGAAAAAGGTGTTAATTATTACAAAGGAAGAAAGTCTATCTACAACTCTACAAAGTCCGGGCTATTTCAGTGTCGACGAGAGAAAAGTGAAGTTTAAGAGAAAAGTGTTTCGGCAAAGTAAAGCGCGAAAGTGAACGCGGAATAATCCGTAGAAAGTGCGTGCGTGAAAGTCCGTTTTGACGAAAAGTAGAGCAAATTGGAAAAGTTTTCGTACACGAGGTTTCTACGGCGGCCATCGTAATTTGGTTAATTTCGAGTGAAGCACAAATATTTGGAGTAGGGTGCCGTAATTATTCCGACGTGTTACCACCAGGATATGTTTTAGTGGCTTTGTTTCACGAAGTCACGAATTTTGTCGTGAAAATTTGGTTTTTTACGTGTACGAAAATCTGTAAATTACAAAAAGAAGAGAAACCACATGGTTTACGCCACCATTTTGTTGGAGAATCTTTTGTCGACGAACAGCTATTGAATTCATATACTCCATTTTGTGCAATAGGTTTTTTTTTTATTGTTCACATCACCAATACAATAGTGCGGCTATTCTGTGTCGTGCCGGCGCAGCTGCCGACCTGAGAATTTCGTTCCAGTTTGGTGAGAAGTGTGATTTCCCAAAAAAAGCCTTTTGCCATTTGCTGTTGCCACCTTTTATGACTCCCTGCGTAACGAAAGGAGTGAGAGAGAATCCAACGAAAGCTAATCCAGCTATTCTCTTTTGCACCTTTGTGTTTTTTTTTTGGTGGTGAGAAAAAGAGGCTAAATCAGCTGTTTGGTGCACCGATTGTTACGCCGGTAGAGCACAGTTTTTTGTGATTATCTGTGGCATACGTGAAGGTGTGAAAGGAGAAGAACGAGGAAAAGGATAAGGCTGCTGCTGTTGGATTATTGGCTTTGTTGCTGTAGTGGTGTATTGCGGTTCGTGGTTGCTGCTGATACGATTGTTGTTGGTTGCTGTTGGCCTTTGGTGGAGTCCCACTGAAACTGTGCTGCTGGTGCTGGATTGATCAGGTATGTGATTTGTTTTGACTATTATTTTTGGACATTTTTTTTTTTTTTGCGTAATTTACAAAACGAAAAACAAAATTGATAGTTTTGAGTTTTTTTTCCGCTTGACTGTGTGTGACATTTTGCTTTGTTTTGTATTTCCCTTACTGAAGGATGACTTTAAATACGACAGCGGAACCCTTCATACCAGGAACGATTTCTTTTCAACAATACTTAGAGCAATTAGAATGGATGTTTATTCATAATGAGTACGCTGAGGAAAGATATAAAGCTTCCTTTCTAGCAGTATGTGGCACCGAAGTTTATACTCAAATTAGGCTTTTATTTCCTGGCCGAAGCCTCAAAGATCTTACATATAAACAAATAACCGATGAACTGAAGAAGCGTTATGATAAAAAAGAATCAGATGTTATACACAGTTACAAATTTTGGACTAGAAGACAGGGCCAATACGAAAAATCAATAGATTTTGTGCTCGCGGTTAAACAACTAGCTGAAGAATGTGACTTTGGGGCATTTAAGGATCGGGCAATTAGGGACGTTTTAGTGATTGGCATAAATGATAAACAACTCCAGAAAAGACTCTTCGACGAAGATGATTTAACGGCTGCCAAAACAGAAAGGATCATAGTAAATCAGGAAAAAGCCTCAGAAAATGTAGGACAAGTGCTAGGTAGAAGCGCAGAAAAAAATGTGAGCATTGTTGCTAGACTAGGTCGTAGAAATGAACGCTATCATTCAAGATCACAGTACCCAAGTAACATTGCAGGTTTTATCGAGGTTTTATAGCATTCTACAAGTCTAAATCATGGTCTACAGAACCCTCATAAAACCAAAATTGTTACTTGGGTATAGAGGAAGAAGTCGTAGTTTTGGACGGAACCGATCAAGGAGTAGAAGTGCTAATGGTCATGAATATGGCAATGGTAGGAACTCTGGGAAACCTTCATATCTATGTTCGTACTGTAAAAAGCGAGGTCACACGAGGAAATATTGTTATCGTCTCAAAGATAGAAGCCCTCAAAACAATAAAAGCAATGTAAAATTTGTAGACTCGCCTAAGCCAGATACTTCTGGACTATTTAAGAGGTTGAAAGTAGATATGGAGTCTGATGATGAAGAAGAAGTTGCAGGATGCCTTATGATCTCTTCGGTTAACAAAATAAGTGAACCTTGTTTCGTTGAACCAAAAGTTGAAAACAAATACTTACAGATGGAAATAGATTGTGGTTCAGCGAAAAGTGTTATTTCGGAGAAAACGTTTTTAAAAGATTTTAGGAATTGCCCACTAGAAAAATGCAGCAAACGTTTAGCAGTAATTGATGGCAATAGATTGAAAGTATTAGGCAAATTGAATGTTTTTGTGCAGCTCAATAGAATCCAAAAATCTCTTCAACTGGTGGTCCTGAAGTGTGACAATGATTTCGTACCATTGGTAGGCAGATCATGGCTAGATGTTTTTTATCCATCATGGAGGGGTACATTTTTAAAATCAGCATCACACACGGGAAAGATCAATGCACTCAAGGAAGAGGAGATCGTTGATGACATAAAAAGTAAGTTTTCAACAGTATTCGATAAGGACTTCTCAAAACCAATAATGGGATTTGAAGGAGATTTGGTTTTAAAGCATGACACCCCTATATTTAGAAAAGCTTATGAAGTTCCATTACGACTACGTCCTAAAGTTATTGATTATTTAGATGCATTGGAAAGGGATGGTATAATTAAACCTGTGGACGTAAGTGAATGGGCTTCTCCAGTAGTGATCATCGTAAAGAAGGATCAAGGCATACGTTTAGTCGTGGATTGCAAAGTTTCAATAAATCGAGCAATTGTTCCAAACACATACCCCTTGCCACAAGCACAAGACATTTTTGCAGATTTATCGGGATCAAAATTTTTTGCTCCCTTGACCTGGAAGGAGCTTACACTCAACTTTTACTATCAAAAAGATCGCAAAAATTTATGGTGATAAACACAATAAAAGGCCTCTACACTTTCAACAGACTGCCTCAAGGAGCTTCGTCGAGTGCAGCAATATTTCAAAAAGTGATGGACCAGGTTTTGCAAGGGTTGAAAAACGTTCGCTGCTATTTAGACGACGTTTTAATTTCAGGGAAAAATTTCGAAGAGTGTCGGAATAATCTTTATCTAGTCTTAGAAAGATTGGCTAAGGCTAATATAAAGGTAAATCTAAAAAAATGCAAATTTTTTGTTGGCAAACTGCCTTATTTAGGACACATTTTGACACAAAATGGCCTCCTTCCATGCCCTGAGAAAGTAGATACCATTCGGCATGCAAAATCTCCACGAACAGTAACTGAGCTTAAGGCGTTTTTGGGATTATTAACTTTCTACGCTAAGTTTATTCCAAACCTCTCGTCCCGTATAAAATGTTTGTATAACCTTTTGCGAAAAAACCAATCAGTTTTACCTCTTTCACTTTAAATGATGCCCAGAAAAACTATCCAATACTGCATTTAGAGGCATTAGCTATTGTCAGTACAGTAAAAAAATTTCATAAATTCCTGTATGGGAAGGAATTTACTGTTTATACTGACCATAAGCCACTTATCGGAATATTTGGTAAAGAGGGTAAAAATGCGATTTGGGTAACTAGATTGCAAAGATATATAATGGATCTTTCAATTTATGACTTTAAGATAATTTACCGACCGTCCACAAGACTAGCGAATGCTGACTTTTGCTCACGATTTCCTCTAAATCAACCAGTTCCAAAAGAGTTATCCAGAGAATATATAAAAAGTTTGAACTTTACTGAAGAATTCCCTATAGATTATAGAGAAATAGCCAAACAAACGGAGAGAGATGAATTGTTGAGCCTAATAAAAAAGTATCTTCAAAATGGATGGCCAAAGCGTATAAATCGAAATATGCTGGACGTGTACGCCAATCATCAAGATTTGGAGGAAGTAGATGGTTGTATCCTGTTCCAAGACAGAGTTAAAGGGTGATACGGTCAAAATTTGGTCAATATCAACTTGACGTATTTCTTTCAATGTTGCATTTAAAAAACCTGAACACCCCTCATTTTGAAGGTGTGTGTGTGTAGAATGTTGCTCCTATTTTGATTTTGGAATTCACTCTTCAGTTGTCAAAATGCCGTCCAAGCAAGAAGAGCAGCGTATCAAAATTTTGCTCGCGCATCGTGAAAATCCGAGCTACTCGCACGCAAAGTTGGAAAAATCGCTAAAAGTTGCCAAATCAACCGTTACAAATGTAATTAAAGTGTTTGGGGAACGTTTGTCGACAGCCAGGAAGTCTGGATCGGGGGGAAATCGAAAACCGGAAGCCGCTGAGACGACGAAGAGAGTTGCCGGTAGTTTCAAGCGAAACCCTAACCTCTCTCTCCGAGATGCCGCAAATAAGCTGGGTGTATCGTCTACAACCGTGCATCGAGCCAAAAAACGAGCCGGACTATCGACTTACAAGAAGGTAGTGACTCCAAATCGCGATGATAAACAAAATACGACGGCCAAAGCGCGATCCCGGAGGCTGTACACGACGATGCTGACGAAGTTTGACTGCGTGGTAATGGACGACGAAACCTACGTCAAAGCCGACTACAAGCAGCTTCAGGGACAGGAGTTTTATACGGCAAAAGGAAGGGGAAAGGTAGCAGATGTTTTCAAGCACATGAAACTGTCAAAGTTCGCAAAGAAATATCTGGTTTGGCAAGCCATCTGTACCTGTGGCTTGAAAAACAGCATTTTCATAGCTTCCGGGACTGTCAACCAAGAAATTTACGTGAAAGAGTGTTTGAATAAACGTCTGCTGCCTTTCCTGAAGAAACACGGTTGTTCCGTACTGTTTTGGCCGGATTTGGCATCTTGCCATTACGGTAAAAAGGCCATGGAGTGGTACGCCGCCAACAACGTGCAGGTGGTTCCCAAGGACAAGAACACTCCCAACACGCCAGAGCTCCGCCCAATTGAGAAATACTGGGCTATTGTCAAGCGGAACCTAAAGAAGACCAAAAAACTGCTAAGGGCGAGCAGCAGTTCAAGGCAAACTGGCTTTCTGCGGCGAAGAAGGTGGACAAGGTGGCTGTACAAAATCTGATGGCAGGGGTCAAGCGTAAGGCCCGGCAATTCGGATTTGGAAAAGCGGAAGCCTAACTGAATATTTTTCCTGAATTATTTACTAATTGAACTTGAAAAAGAAATTTAATTTGATTTTTTAAATAAACGATTTCACCGATTTACACGCGTTTTCCCTTGACCAAATTTTGACCGTATCACCCTTTATGATCCCAACATCAATGCAAAGACAAATATTAAGTATGCTCCACAAAAATCACTCAGGTATGAGTAAAATTAAACAACTAGCTAGGAGGACAGTATATTGGTGGGGTCTAAATAAGGATGTAGAAAACTACGTTCAGTCTTGTAATATCTGCAATGTCACAACAGCAATTACTAAACGTGCCCCCTATTCCGAATGGATCCCAACTAACAAACCGTTTAGCAGAATTCATGCGGACTTTTTCTATTTGGAGAAGAAGGTGTTTCTAGTAATTATCGATAGCTACAGCAAGTGGATCGAGCTGGAATATATGAAGTTTGGAACTGATTGCAAGAAGGTTTTGAAAGTTTTCATAAATATGTTTGCCCGATATGGACTGCCGGATGTATTAGTGACCGATGGAGGCCCACCTTTTAACTCTGATCAGTTTGTAAAATTCTTTGAAAAACAAGGAGTTTTAGTTTTAAAAAGTCCGCCTTACCATCCGGAAAGCAATGGTCAAGCCGAAAGAGCGGTACGTTTAGTCAAGGAGGTTTTTAAAAAATTCCTTGTAGATCCGGTCATTAGACGTCTAGACACAGACGAACAAATTGCATATTTTCTCATTAACTACAGGAATACCTGCTTGAAAAAGGATGGCGTATTTCCATCAGAGAGATTACTGTGCTATAAACCAAAGACTTTATTAGATTTAATTAACCCTAAAAGTAATTATAAACATAACCAGATCAATACTAACGATGACCAAAATTCTGCATGCATAAATAACAAGAATAATGTTTCTGACCAGTTCACTAATTTAAGAAAAGGTGATCAGATCTTTTATGAAAATCCTAACAAGACTGATATTAAAAGATGGCTTCCAGCAAAATATGTGAAACAAATCTGTTCTACTATCTTTCAGATTTCTCTCGCTGGTAGAATTGTTTCTGCACATAAACGACAGTTGAAAGTACCGACCGACTCTCGCCAAAAGCATAAAAGAAGTTTCGTCTTTAGTGGAGAGAGTCCAGCAAAACCTGTACAATCGACAGCCACAGTTGAAACTCTTGACCAAAGCATACCATCAACACAGCACAATGGCTCTAATGTTTGCATTCGTCCTGAACCATCAGTTATACAAGCCAACCAATGCCACAAACGACGACGTGAAGAAGATATTAGTAGCGAATCTGAGTCCGAAGGTGAATTCTATGGCTTTCCAGCCGACTCGAATATTTTTGATGAATTTCCCGATAATGTAGTAATCTCTGAATTGCCTACAGAAACAACAAGAAGAAGCAAAAGAAAATTGAAGAAGAAACGTAAGAATGATTACGTCTATTATTAGTATAAGATGAAATCTCTAGAGGTGAATAAGTAAATTTTAGTAAAATATCAGTAATGCAATTTACGTTCTGAAAATTGAATGGAATAGATTAAACTTTAAAGATGAGTTTTCGAAAAATAGATATTTGAAATGCTAGCTTAAGGGATGAGGAGTTGATATATCCACATGTTCTGGAAGCACTGCTTCAGAACACAGGCGGTAAAATGAATAATACCGATTCGATAAGATGGAAAAGGAAAGTAGACAAGAGCGAGAGAGGAACATAAGAAAAAGGGAAGTAGGAAGTGTAATCAAAACAGGGAAATAAATGACTGGTCATAACTGTTTGAACTGCAACTGAAAAAGGTGTTAATTATTACAAAGGAAGAAAGTCTATCTACAACTCTACAAAGTCCGGGCTATTTCATACTGGACTTGTCAAGTTGCCCCCGGGTTGGTTTGGGCAGACCACTTCTGAAAACTAATTTCAATATAAACACTCTCGAAAACTAAAATTAAATTTACAACCCTACACATTCTCAGGGGTGCTGTAATTCAGCCGGATGTGTTCCGGCAAACCCTTAATGAGCACTAATTCCAAAGGCAATCACTCCTAAAAACAACAAACAGTTACAATCACACTTCCAACGCATCCTCAGGGGTGCTGGAATTTAGCAGGATGTGTTTCGGCAGACCATTTCTGAGATAAAATTCCAACGTGAACCACTCCCAAAAACTAAAGATATTTCAATTTACACGTCCTACGCATCCTTCGAGGTGCTGGAATTCAGCCGGATGTGTACCGGAAGATCATTCATGGGAAGTAATTTCATAATGAATCACTCCCAAAAACTCCCAAAAACAGTTCAGTTACATCTTCAACTCATCCTCAGGGGTGTTGGAATGCACCCGGATGTGTACCGGAAGACCACTTATGGGAAGTAATTTCAAGGTGAATCACTCCTAAAAACAATTAACAGTTCAGTAAACCCTTCCAACGAATTCGGGGGTGCTAGAATTCAGCCGGATGTGTTTGGACAGACCACTTCTGAGATCTAATTTCAAAATTAATCACTCCCGAAAACTAAAATTTAATTTACACGTCCTACGCCTTCTCAGGGGTGCTGTAATTCAGCCGGATGTGTTCCGACAGACTACTTAATAGAAGTAATTCCAACGTTCAGTTCCCTTTTCTAACTCTTCCTCAGGAGTGCTAGAATCCAGCTGGATGTGTGCTGGCATACCACTTGTGGGAATGTAAATCACTCCCAAAAACAACAAACATTTCGTTTTACTAACCAGAATGTCGTGGATTAATTTTGGAGGTGATGGACCACCACAGATTTACACGCAGAAAAAAATATTTTAAACGTAATAATATTTGACGTAAATTTAATAAGAATTTCATTTTGTTTTGGCTGCAAAATGAAATCATTATTATTTCAAAAATCCAGTATCTTTGTTTTTAAAAACCCATGGATTGTTAAATCAAAAAGAAAATCTTTTCGAATTTACAAGAGCTTTTATGGTTTTGACGTAAGCTGTCAAATTTTGCAGCTGGGTCAACAAAAAAATATGTTTGTTTTTAAAAGAGATTTCTTGTTGATTCAATCATATTTATTTTATTAAGCCTAAAAATATACGCAGTAGAAATAAAATTATGTTTATTGATTCAATTTTTAATAATTTGCTATTATTTTTATGTTTTGTTTTCTATTTGTTACCAACAAAATTACAATTTATTAAATTAAAAAAAAAAAAACTTTCTGAGGCATAAAATCTCCCCGGTTTATGAGTTGATGGGTCGATAGGTAGGGTCCAGGTGTGGGAGCGGCCTTCCTGGCGTTGGGAGCAATGGTACTCAGTACTGAAAATAAAATCGACGGAAAAAATCAAGGAAAAAAAGAAAAACTGTTTATATTTTGTAACAGCAGCATACCTACTTACCCTAATAAAAAATAACCATAAACGAATGATAACCCAAATTATTGAACTATTTCATAAATGGTTTGAATGATACCCAGAACACGTCGTTAAGCAAATTAACCATACAATTTTTATTAGGGTACTTACCTCTAGAGCTGAATCAAACGAGAAATTTTTTGTTATTGTTTACATTTTTGTCCGGGTTTTCACGAGGGAATGGTTGGTAGTTATTTTTGCATTCATGGCCCGGGGAATTGACACAACAAATAAATGTTAAATTTAAATTAACTATTGTTGGCTTGATAAAAGAATATTGTTATTTTTACAATAGTTGCAGTTGAAGAGTGGCTTATGAAAACAAAAAGAATCTTATTTTGAATTTATTTGAATAAATATTATCGAAACAATAAAATGCAATATAATTTCAACCGAAATTGTTTGTGTAAATACAAATAAAGTTTTTTTGGTTCAATGCAAACAATTTTCTGTCCGTGTAGAAGCAGCAGATACTACGGTCTGATGGTCACGACACTACTCTACTACTACACTCTCCAGCAACCGGCTGAAAAAAATATATGCAAAAATTATCAACATTGTTTTGATTTTTTTCATTAAAACACAGTTTACTTACCTTGAGAATAAATACGCCTGATGATTCGTCCCGCCGGGAGACCAACCACTCAGGAAGATGGCCATCGGAGGCCAATTTCGCGGACCGGATTAAAACAAATAATCTCCTGACACGACCGAAATGTAAACATGGCTGACCACACAATCAGCCGACGCGAAAAAAATCACAAAAAAAATGCTAAGTACCATCCGCCATTTGGTAGCTCGACGGATGAAATTGCTCTAGCGGGGCGAGTCGCCTTTCGTCCGGATCCCGGACCGCCATTTGGTCGCCCGGCGGATGAAATTACTTTAGCGGGGCGAGTCGCCCTTCATCCGCATCCCGGACAAAGGGCGAACGATCAGTCTTCAGTCTCAATGTCAAATGACGTCACTTTTTCGCCGGCAATTCGTGTGGGTAATTTCATCCACCAAATGGTGGATGGAACTTAGCAATTTTTTTGTGATTTTTTTTCGCGGCGGCTGATTACGTGGTCAGTTATCTTTTCATATCGTGCGTGTATAAAGGGTGATACGGTCAAAATTGGGTCAATATCAACTTGACGTATTTCTTTCAATTTTGCATTTAAAAAACCTGAACACCCCTCATTTTGAAGGTGTGTGTGTGTAGAATGTTGCTCTTATTTTGATTTTGGAATTCACTCTTCAGTTGTCAAAATGCCGTCCAAGCAAGAAGAGCAGCGTATCAAAATTTTGCTCGCGCATCGCGAAAATCCGAGCTACTCGCACGCAAAGTTGGCAAAATCGCTAAAAGTTGCCAAATCAACCGTTACAAATGTAATTAAAGTGTTTCGGGAACGTTTGTCGACAGCCAGGAAGTCTGGATCGGGGGGAAATCGAAAACCAGAAGCCGCTGAGACGACAAAGAGAGTTGCCGGTAGTTTCAAGCGAAACCCTAACCTCTCTCTCCGAGATGCCGCAAATAAGCTGGGTGTATCGTCTACAACCGTGCATCGAGCCAAAAAACGAGCCGGACTATCGACTTACAAGAAGGTAGTGACTCCAAATCGCGATGATAAACAAAATACGACGGCCAAAGCGCGATCCCGGAGGCTGTACACGACGATGCTGACGAAGTTTGACTGCGTGGTAATGGACGACGAAACCTATGTCAAAGCCGACTACAAGCAGCTTCCGGGACAGGAGTTTTATACGGCAAAAGGAAGGGGAAAGGTAGCAGATGTTTTCAAGCACATGAAACTGTCAAAGTTCGCAAAGAAATATCTGGTTTGGCAAGCCATCTGTACCTGTGGCTTGAAAAGCAGCATTTTCATAGCTTCCGGGACTGTCAACCAAGAAATTTACGTGAAAGAGTGTTTGAATAAACGTCTGCTGCCTTTCCTGAAGAAACACGGTTGTTCCGTACTGTTTTGGCCGGATTTGGCATCTTGCCATTACGGTAAAAAGGCCATTGAGTGGTACGCCGCCAACAACGTGCAGGTGGTTCCCAAGGACAAGAACCCTCCCAACACGCCAGAGCTCCGCCCAATTGAGAAATACTGGGCTATTGTCAAGCGGAACCTAAAGAAGACCAAAAAAACTGCTAAGGGCGAGCAGCAGTTCAAGGCAAACTGGCTTTCTGCGGCGAAGAAGGTGGACAAGGTGGCTGTACAAAATCTGATGGCAGGGGTCAAGCGTAAGGCCCGGCAATTCGGATTTGGAAAAGTGGAAGCCTAACTGAATATTTTTCCTGAATTTTATACTAATTGAACTTGAAAAAGAAATTTAATTTGATTTTTTAAATAAACGATTTCACCGATTTACACGTGTTTTCCCTTGACCAAATTTTGACCGTATCACCCTTTACATGCGTTACAGCCGTGAATCCTTACTGATGCAACGCATGCCGATGTTGGATCTTGAGGTTAATTTTTAAGGTAAAGTTAAGTTAAAGTTTTATTAATGTTAACTAAAAGCTAATGTTAAAGTTATGTTGATGCCATTTTGTGCAATAATTAGTATTTTAAGTAATTGCGATTATTTATTTGTAGAATATGCCCTAACCGTGTAGTGAACAGTATAGACACAGATAAACAGTTATAACACATTGAATATTTCTCACTGTAAAACATCGTTGCTAAAACATTACCGTCATCTATTGAGTACACTGTGGTGGGAAATACACTGAACAGATGGTGGTAGTGTGTAAACGTCAAACACAAGGGATATGGCTATGCGCGCCACAGGTGGCGGTACTACCAACTACGATACTTTTAAATTTACCGTTAAATGCTTGTTCGATGAACAACTTGCGAGAGTTATGTCTGTTTGTCGGTGGTATAGACTTCTCTGAATGCCTAAGTGTTAGTGCAGAACTTTGGGTAACTTCTAAGTGTTAGTGCAGGAAACAAAACCGACTCCCTGGGTTTCACCACTCGTTCCAATCATAAAAGAGAATGGAAAACTGCGCTTGTGCATAGATATGCGACGGGCCAATCAAGCCATCCAAAGGCTCAACCACCCCTAACTAGTGTTCGACGACCTGATTACCAAATTCCGAAATGCAAAATTCTTCACGTCACTAGACATCAAGCAAGCTTTCCATCAGGTAGAGATAACAGAAGACAGTCGTGATGTTACCACTTTCATTTAGAAATTGGGGGCTGTACCGGTACAAAAGGTTGCTGTTTGGAGTGAACTGTGAACCGGAGCTTTTCCAGAACCTGATGGAAAGTATTCTGGTAGGATGCCGAAACACGGTAGTATTCATTGACGATATACTC